TGTCATATATAAGTGTCCTGATATCTGCTGAGTAGCATTTTTCATTTTTGGTGTTTTGTGTTACTTGCTGAATTTCTTCTAATTTTTCCTGTAAAATCAGTATGTCATTTTGAAGTACAAGAATTGCAGAATTTTTTTCAGCAAGTTGTTGGATTAACAACTTGCCTTTTGATTAGAAAACTTGGTTTCGGTGAATGTTAACTGTTGTTTCAAATAAAAAATTTGATTTTGAAGTTTTTTTAACTGTATATTTAAAAAATTTTCTTTTAATTTTTTTCTAAGTTGATGAATTATTTTTTCCTTACGAGCAATAACTTGATTTAGATATTTTAATCTGAATGGTCTAGCCTTTGCCTTTTCTCTTAAACCTTTAAGATCTTTTTTATGCTTTCTCTTTTTAATTGCGATTTTGTTTTCCAAAATAGTTAATCTCTTTCTCATAATCTTTTACCTGGGACTCACCTGGTCAGCTCTCAACCTGGATAATAGTTCTTAAGAAGAGTCACTATTTGATAGAGACGAAACAGTAATTTGCTGAGAAGAAAATGAAGAACACGTAGCAATGTGATTAGAGGTTGTGATTAACTGTGATGTTTGAGTCACAGCAGATGTTGGCATTCAAAGAGCATGTTGCAGATGTCAATAAATTGTTTTGAATTTCGTGAAAAATCTTTTAAAAAGACTTGATTTTCTAACTAGTTGCAGAATCTGATTCGGAAAAATTTTGATGTTAAAATACTTACTGATTAGTTCTACAGTTACTTGGTATGAATCATTGTTAGTTGCCAATATATGCATTTCTACATCCAATATTTAAATGAGCTGGTATTGGAAAATTACAAACTAAATAAGATTTAGCTTTACCATAAAATAGATTTGTTTTTCTTTTTAGACCCCATGAAGTACTAAATTAAATTCAACAATCATAACACTACTTTAATTGTAATTTAATCACTATTACTATTTAATTACTATTTAATTGGTTCGGCAATTAATCACAATTAACTAACTAATAAAATGCCTTTAATCAATAAAAAATTATTACTAATAAAAGGCTATTGAAAAAAAGATTGTATAGTTTTTTAATAAAAGCTATCTATATATCTCATTATTATGAATAAACAATCTAATATACCAAATGCTCACCATCAAATTACACCCCCCCCCCCCGCCTAATCAGAAGTGGAAATACATACCTCCAAAAGCCAGATACGCACGTACCTAATATATATATATATAAATATAAATTATGTATACAGGGTGACCAGACACTTTCAACAATTAAATTCCCTGACTTTTTATATTTTTCCCTGACTCAGTTATATTTTAAAGTGTGAATTTTAAGTTTTGTTGTTTGGTAGTAAGTAAAAAAAAACCTTTAAAAAAAAAAAAATTTTCAAAAAAGACATTTTTCCCTGATTTCCCTGAATAGAAAAAAATTCCCTGACTTTTCTATGATTTCCAGTTGGCTGGCCACCCTGGTATAATATTATTATAATAGCATACAAGTGTATATTAGTATGCACCTTTTGATTCTTAATTGCCCTCTGCAAAATGCCTGAGGCTTGTAATATATTTGCAAGGTAAACAGCTTACAAGTTTGCTGTATGAATCATTATTTAGGCAATGTGATTGTAACACAACCTAAAGGTTCCTTAGGCAACATATAGCAAATCTTTATATTTACTTTTAATAATTTTGTTCTGGCGCGTATATATATATATATATGTGTGTATATATATATATATATATATATATATATATATATATATATATATATATATATATATATATATATATATATATATATATATATATATATATATATATATATATATATATATATATATATATATATATATATATATATCGTCGGGGATAGTGCAAAACCGCGTAACTAGCATTGGATAATACCGCGTATCGACAGTACATTTTTTTTACTGGAGAAGTTTAAAACTTTATATATTTTTTATTTTAACTGATTTTGGGTTTATTTTAGTACAAAGAGTATTGTTCATGTTTTTTGTAATCTCAACAATAAATAAAATTTGGTGTTAAAATTAATAATATCCAATTATAGTAGCCAATGCTAGTTGCGGGGATTTTCACTACCCCCGACGATATATATATATATATATGTATATATATATATATATATATATATATATATATATATACATATATATATATATATATATATATATATATATATATATATATATATATATATATATATATATATATATATATATATATATATATATATATATATATATATATATATATATATATATATATATATTAACTTAACGCTTAACTGTCGAAAAATACTTTCAAGACATTTTTGTAAATGCCATTAGACATTTTTACAACACCAGAATATTTGTATAGATATTGCAATTACAAAAGAATATGTTAAAGTAAAAAAATATAAATAAAATAATAGTTAGCTCTATCATCTTGAACAAAATAATCATTGAATAACTTGTATAAGCATTGAATAACAAAATAAACATTGAATAAAAAGGTATTATGTGGTAGGGAAAAGTGAAAAAAGTTTGTACACTTAGGAAAAAAAATGTTCACCTTTCATTTTAGTCTTTTATGTTGCTTATTTGTTTTCACAAAAAATATTTTTAATATTTATTAATTATACAACAAATATTTATAAGTATAAAACTGATAGATGTTAGCTGAATCATTATTATTTTACTTTAGAGTCAATAGTTTCAAAAAAACTTGAAAGAAACCATGTCTGTTTTCATTTATACCATATTTACATATAAACAATCAACATGTATGCGATGCTGTTATTTAGTCTAAAACACTAAATACTTTAATGTAAAACTGCAAATAACTAGTTATCACCAAATATCTAGTGTTTTTTAAAGTTAGAGAAGGCTTTTTCAAACCTTCAAAAAGTGTAATTAAAGTTAGCAAAGCAACAGAACAAAACATTGTTATTAACCCAGCGGGCACAGACGTCAATCAGATGTCTTACGGACGTCTTAACTAGGTCGCGACGTCTCAGACCAAAATAGGACGTCCTAAAGACGTCCGGTAGAGACGTCTTTGTTAGGACGTCAAAGTGACGTTAATATAAAGACGATATTAGGATTTCCATATTTAGACGTCCTATTGACGTCGCTAAGACCTACATTAGACGTCCTAATTACCTTAAAATTAAGTTAAAAAATTTATATTTTCAACTTGGCGCATACAATATTATGCGCTAACTTGGTTAATTAAAAATGTCTACTTGTTTTGGTTGATATTAATAATGATATTATTAATTTTGTTTAGTTATTTATCGTTTAAAAATATTTTTCAATTTTCTATATTCTATACTCTATGATCTATAAACTATAATCTATACAATTTTTAAATTAAAGAAAATTTAGTTTAGTTATTAAGTGTAACTAAGTTACAAGTATAATGTATATATATATATATATATATATATATATATATATATATATATATATATATATATATATATATATATATATATATATATATATATATATATATATATATATATATATTGATATATATATACATATATATATATATATATATATATATATATATATATATATATATATATATATATATATATATATATATATATATATATATATATATATATATATATATATATATATGCTAAGATTTGTAATATCTATATATAATATATGTATATATATCTATATTATAATATATGTGTATATATATATATATATATATATATATATATATATATATATATATGCTAAGATTTGTAATATCTTTGCTGTAGAAATAGGTAAATGAATAAATAAATGGTATATATTTTGTTGTTCCTGTGTTGTTTCGTTCAATTTTATGATCTTTCCATCTCTGGTTGTATAAATAATTATTAAGATTATTTCTTATGTTGACACCTAGTTACTGTGTGGTTTCATTTAATTTGATGTATTATTATTTATATATACATGATTTATACATTATATTATAATGTTTATATGATGCATACATATTCATTATATATATATATATATATATATATATATATATATATATATATATATATATATATATATATATATATATATATAATATGTGTATATATATCAATATATATATATCGATATATATATATATATATATATTGATATATATATATATATGTATATATATATATCAATATATATATATATATATATATATATATATATATATATATATATATATATATATATATATATATATATAAATATATATATATATATATATATATATATATATCAATATATATATATATATATATATATATATATATATATATATATATATATATATATATATATATATATATATATATATATATATACATATATATTCTTATAAGGTTAAGCATGAAACTTGAGATTTTTTGCATTATTCAGTTTAAATCTACCTCTTCTCAACCATATATAGGAATTACTATTTACTACTTTATATACTATTTATATGGCTTTACTTATATATTTTATTTTTCAAAGTTTCAGAAAAAATTCATATTCTAACTTGCTGAAATGAAAAAAAGTTTTAGTAGATAGAACTGCACTGTTCTCTAATAATCCAGAAGAAGGTTTTAAACAACGTAAAAGTTCAGATAAACTTAATGTTTTGAAAAAAAAAATTTGCAAATGGAGATATCCATACATCACTTTTGTATACATGAGTTTTATCTTTAAAGTTTGTATGATATATATTATTACAATATTTATTTTAAATTGTCATAAACATTTTCAATGTTTCTTATACATTGTTTCTTTTTAGATAAAACAGTTATCATTAATTGGCGATAAAAATCTAGCTGATACAATTAAAAATATTTTGCTCTTGTAAGTAATTAGCAAAAGTTTGAGTTTTAACATTTATGATTGACAGTAGAGCATTTATCTTCTTTTTTATATATGTAGACTGCCAACAGACACTTTTTTGTCAGAATACAGCATGAATTGTCTAAAGAAGAAAAAAAAGTTTAAAGAGTTGACAAGTCTATGTAACGCTGTCACTGGTATTCTTATTAGCTTATTAATGTGTTTGATTAATTAAAAATTAAAAATGATGTTTTAAAAAAAAAAAAAAAAAATTTTTTTTGGCTCTGGAACATGACATGTATTCAAGTATGACATATATATTTTATTTTATGATTTTATTGAAACATGTTTTGTTGTTTTTATTAGAAGCTGCTTTAAAGTCAAATAAAAACTTAACCAAAATGGATGCTATCCAACTTATTGGGAGAGTAGTTAGGCATTCTTCTGACCGAATAAAGAAAACATCGACTAATATTTCGATCAATGTTGGCTTAATTAACTGTTGTATTTTTTTTTCCATTTTTAAGCAATTTTCTTTTATTTATAATGCACTACCGATTATATTCTAAAGTACCTATTTGTTTTTAATTTGAAAAATGTAACTTTTTTGTTGGAAAAATTATTCTTAATTTTTATAAAGTTATTAATTTATTTTAAATATATATAATTACACTTTATTTACATTGATTTCCTTTTATAACTTCCCTTGCCTAGATTAAGGCAAATCTAAGGTGTGTGTTGTAAATCATTGCATTTTTATATAACTTTTAAAAGAATGTCTTGGTAAAATTCAAACGTCTCTAGGACGTCTGAAAAAGACGTCCTTAAGTCATTCATATGAGACCAGCCAGAGACGTCTCTAGAACGTCTGCAAAAAACGTCTCTAGGACGTCTTTAAAAAACGTCTTAAGGACGTCCGGAATGGACGTCCTCAAGCCTTTCATTTGAGACCAACTAAGGATGTCTTACGGACGAGACTTAAGACGTCTAACGGACGTCCTTAGGACGTCAAAATGCCCGCTGGGAAGTGATATTAATTTTAAGGGGCAACTACCCTCAAATTTCAAAACAACACATATAAAGTAACTTTTTCTTTAGTCATATAGTAAATATTATACTGACATTAAAAATACCAAAAAATACATAAAATGGTAGCTCGTTGCTATGGCAACTCAAAAAAATAGCTAAAAAACCCACAAAAACTGTGTTTACGCCGTAAAAAAAATAAGAATTATGAGTAAAGGAGTGTCAATGAAATTTTGTAGAACTGTTCTAAATATGTAAATTTGTGATATGAGCGAAGCAGATTTTTGAATAAAAATTTTTTTTTGATAAAAAGCTACAGTCAAATTAGATTATTAAAAAAAAGGTCAAAATACAAAGAAAAAAACTAAAAAACTCAAAATCTTAAGTCATATGAGAAATTCTACTCCGCTCATATCATAAACATTGGTAAAATGAACGATCCCTAAAAATTTCATCATAGTAGCATGTATACTTTTCAAGATTTTTTTCCCGGCGTGTTTAAAAATTAAATTCTCAGAAAACACAAAACAAAAAATAAAATCATAAATTATTGTTCATTTCATAAAAATATCTTTAAAAAAATAACTTTTTAAAAGAATATTTCAAAAACTGCCAGACTCATAATATTCCTTGGACTTTTCTATTGACTTTTGATGATCATCCTTTGATAATCGTTGACGTCGTAACATCTTTCGTTTCATCTTAAAACTTTCACTCGATTTAAATAATGATAGTTTTATTTGTTTTTTGTTTATGAGCCTGCAACCAGCTAAAGTAAAATGCCCTGGTTTCATATTTAGTTTTTCATAAATTAAAATGACAGACTTCATACCGATGTTATAATTTGCAACAGCATCGTACACTCCAAACTCTAAACTGGCTAAACCAACATAATTACTTTTTGGTAATCTATCCCATATTAAATTATTAAAACTCTCGTTGCAATTCTGGGTTTTGCCATGAAGACACTTTACTAATTCAGAATCTTTACTTAAATCAGCATATATTGGCTTGATTTTGTGAATAATATCCGCAGGAATTCCTGGTCCAGGTTTGTATATGGAAGTAGACTTTGCTTTATCAATGTTAAACTTACACCAACTATCACCTCCAGTCGGGCAGTAAATATGATAGTTATTTTCCTTAGAAGAAGCTACATGGAAAAGGCTAGCTAATACTGCTTGTTTCATTTTATTCAGATCATTTGTATTGCTCAGGATAGCTACACCAAAAAATTTTTGCAAGCGATCAATAACTGCATTGGTTAGTCGACCACGACCACCTAGACCCTTAACATTTTTTTTTAACTTGCGTAAGCGAGTACCAACTTGTTTTTGGTAATGTCCTACACACTCCAACTTTTTTACCTCCATATTTGGGTATATATCTTTGATAGAAAGATGGGATTTACTATCCCCATCACCAAGAAATTGAGTATATCTTAACTTGTGTTTTTCCATGGAGCGTTTAAAAACTCTCACTGCGCCAACTGATTCCATACCACCAGCTGTACCTTGATAATTGTACAGGCAAATATGTTTGTTTTTCCAATTAGCATATGCATCAGGATTTGATTTTTTTAATTGTTTTTTCATACAGCAAGCTTTACATGATTTATTCATAGGTTCAACATCGATTATTTTTCCACTATCTATTAAAACTGCGGTAAAAACTCCATTCATTGACTGATATCCTCTTTTCTGCCATGATCCATCGCATGATACACCAACATCAACAATGTCCTCACTAGTTGCATTTTCTTTCATTTCAGTTGCAGCATCTGACATTGTTTCGTTTGCAACACTTTTCACAATGTTTTTTATTTTAGTTGTAATTTTTGAATAGTTTTTGGGTGTCATGGGTTTTGGCATATTCATGAGCTGAGTAAACTTTTCAATGCCAGTATGACCATGGCCTAAGACTCTCATTGCATATATTGTCCTGTTGTTAATATCAAACCCTTTATCACAAGCAACTGATGTATAAAATTCATGTTTATAGTCACAAGATAGTGTAGTACACTTTAAATATAGCAACGTTGCTAGACCTTTCTTTTTTTCTGATGATCACCTAAGTACAGTGCACACTTTTCACATTGAGGACACATTAACAATGAAAGAACTTTAGATAAAATTTCAGTGTCTATAATTCTGTAACCAGTAATTCTTTTAATGTTTTTACTTGGTACATTTGTAACAACTTTTACTTTTTTAGCTGATGCGCCTAAAATATTTCTTTCAATAGAGTCACTTACATTACATGCATTTTTATTTTTTTTCATTATAAATCCTCTTCTTTTTTTGTAGTAATTTGTTCTCTGCTTTACTCTATCATTAATGTTTTTGTTCAAAATAACACCCAAATCAGTAGGTTTTGTCATATTTTTTAATTTCTGCTGTTATATAAATTAGCTTTGATAACTTGATAAAAACGTATTAAAGTAGCAATTGTAAATGGCATATAATAAGGAACAGAATATTAATTAGCAAAGAAGATATAAATCAAAGCATATATTTAAAACAGTACTCTAGGATAGATTCATAAACAAAATATTCGCCCCCATAGCAACGCGTTGCTATGCAAATATTTTTTACTTGAGTTCAAAAAAACATAAATTAAACAAAAATTTATAAAAAAATGTTTGATTTTTTTTGCAGATTCAAAATCTGCATAAAATTTTGGTCTAAAATTATTAAAAAAAAAAAATCAAATTTTTAAAAAAATGTGAGGGTAGTTGCCCCTTAATACAGAATTGCATAGTTGATGTTATTTCAGTTGTAGAACAATATAAACATGTCTTCAGAGTTTCAAAAATTAGAAAACCATGTACAAAAATTTCGATAAAGTGTTTTTAATATCAATTTGTTTTTCAGAAAAGTTTTATTTAGAATATCATAAATTCAATAATTTAACAATTTCATAGAAAGCAATACAAATTTTACTATTTCTTTATAGCAATATTTCTCTTAGTCGTTAATGTTTTGCGTGTTTTTGATTCCCTTTTATAATTTTTACACCTTCAAACATTTTAAATATAATAATATCATTGAAATATGTGACTTGGTCGAGTAGATATAAACGAAGTAAAAAGGTACAGTTTCAAGCGCAATCACAGTATTTTCGGCTTTCCAATACGGCGGCCGTACAAAAAATTGGCTTCACTTTTGATAATAGAGATGCGCTTTCCAGTTATTATATAAAGATCAGTGATCCTACTGCGTAAAACTCAAAACGAGAATGCGTTTTAAAGCTATAGCCGTTAGAAATGACCGAACATAGTTCCGTTTTTTACGCAATGGGATGGAATAAATCAAGCGGATGGAATAATCTACTTTAGTAGTAGATTATTTCATTCCAATGTATAAAACATCAAATTGAAAATAATCTTATAACTTTTTTTTTGTTTCCATGTTTATTAAATAAAAATAATAGTATTTTAAAAGTTGTTTACAAATTTTTCATTCCCATCAATCAAATAAATGTTATTAATACGCGATGGATGGAATAAATCAGGCGGATAGAATAATCTACCACAAATCTTTTCTCCTATAGCGAATCGTACAACTTGAGATATATGATTGAGTAACGGTAAAAATATAATTAGTATAATTATTAGTGCAACATATCATAATTATATTCGTCTATTTTTAAAATATTGATGACACATTAAATATTTTTTTTCTCCAAATTTAAGCATTTTTTATTATGTTTTTAAGTTCTATTTTCGCTATTTCTTTTGATCGACATAAATTAGTATTTTAGACCTTTACGGAGCATCCAATTTGATGACAGTTATGTTTACTGACGATACAAATTTTTTTTTATCTCATAGCAACATAACGACACTATTTTCTTGTATGGACATTGAACTAAATAAAGTTTCCCAATAGTTTAAATCAAACAAACTTTCTCTGAATATTGAAAAAACAAAATGGTCTCTTTTCCATTCTAATTCTAAAAAACGTCTAATTCCAATAGAGTTTCCCAGTCTTTTTATTAATGATTTTTAATTAAGTGAGCAACATGTACAAACTTTTTATGGGTAGGGGAAAGCGGGGCAACATGGGGAATGGGGCAAGATGGATTTTCATATAACAACTCAACAAAAAATTTTAAAATTGGGTGAAAACGAAACTGTATTTGTATCTTGTAGTTTAAAACACCAATTGGTTTTTTGAAATATTATTAACGCCATTTTATTTAAATAAGTTTACTTTTTCCCCTATAATAAAATTCCTCACTTTCGGTTTCTCATAATGGTTGGTGTCCTTCAAGTTTAACTTCTTTAGAAGTAGTTTTTGCAATTTGTGTTTATTTTTTGTTACTTTAATTAGAGTTATTGGCAGTTTTTAAAATTTTATAAAATTGGAGGTAAAAATTGCATAATAAGTCATCTTGCCCCGGTCACGTGACCAGATGACAAATTTATGAACTTTTTATTTTAATATTTATTTTAAATTGTTATATTTGCAAACTGAAAATTCATGCAGGCAATGAAAGAACTTAATAGCATAAACATACTGAGAAAGTATTATGGCTTCACGACT